GCACGGCACCCCCTCAGCACTGACCCTCCGACGGCACGGCACCCCCTCAGCACTGACCCTGCGATGGCACGGCACCCCTTCAGCAGTGACCTTCCGACAGCATGACACCACCTCAGCACTGGCCCTCCGACGGCACGGCACCCCCTCAGCGGTGACCCTCCGACAGCACGGCACCCTCTCACAGCACTGACCCTCTGATGGCATGGCACCCCTACAGCACTGACCCTCCAACAGCACGGCACCCCCTCAACACTGACCCTCCGACAGCGTGGCACCCCGTAAATGGGACAGTCACCTTAACACCAATAACCAACATTTATATTGCGTAGGAACCAGGAGGTCATTCAGCCGCTTGAGACTGTCCCACTATCCAGTTCAATCAAAGCTGATCTCTTTGCAACTCCATTTACTCCCTCCTTGGTCCCTTAACTCTTAATCCCTCTTTACTGAACAAAATCTATTGATTCCCAGTTTTATCACCTGTAAATAATGTGCAGGCTTGTTGACAATCAGGGTATACATCTATATTTTGTACATATGGAGAGAGAGTGCGGGAGAAGAAATGGGAGAAGGAGAGGGGGCAAAAGGGCGAGGGGGAGAGAAAGAGAGAACAAAATGGCAGTTCCACATCTCCTATGCCCTTTATGTGAAGAATTGCCTCATCAAACCTGAGTGGTTTGGCTCAATAGAATTAATGATCTCACAGTAAAAGCATCTCCAGGTATCAGCAACCATAATATGACTGAATTTTAGATCCCGTTTGAGGGAGAGGGGGCTGGGTCCGACAGCATCATTTTTTAAACAAATTTATATAAGGGGAATTATGAGGGTGCGAAAGCAGCACTGGCTAAATTTATTTGGCAAAGTGTGTTAAAGGATGGGTCAATAAGAGACGCATTTAAGTAGATATTTCAAAATACACAGAATAGATACATTCAAAGAGTATAAAAAATTCCAACTACGCAATGTTACCAATTACCAATGTTAAAAATAGTATCTAAATATTATAAAAATAACATAATTTGTGTGTTGACAAGTGGTATTAAAAACTTTGAACATAAAAGATTGTAAAGATTAACAAGGAGAGATAAATTACAGCAAGAGGGAAAGCTAGCTAGAAACATAAAGAGAGATGATAAGAGTTTCTATAAATATTTTAAAAGGGAACGTGTTAAAAAAGTGAGCACTGATCCTGTAGAAAGTGAATCTGGAAAATTATAGAATCACAGGATTTTACAGTATAGAAGGAGGCTATTTGACTCGCTGCCTGTATACCAGCTCCCTAAAGAGATACCAGCTGGTCCCATTCTCCAGCCCTATCTCCGTAGCCCTGTAAATGTATCATTTTCAAACATATATCCAGCTCACTTTTCAAGCTTTGTATGGGATCCACCTCCATCACTCTCTCAGGCAGCATGTTCTAAATCCTAACAACACTCTGAGTAAAGATGTTTTGCCTCATCTCACTGACAATCTTGAAATTGTGACCCCTCTTTACTGACATACCAACTAGTGGAAACAGAATATCTTTCTTTACCCTGTCAAAATTGTTCATAATTTTGAACATTTCAACCTCCTAATCTTCTACGCTCCAAGGAGAATAAGCCCAATCTCTCTACTCTCTCTTTGGTTCTAAAATCCCTCATTCTTGTTATCATTTTAGTAAATCTCCTTTGCATTCCCTCCAAGGCTTTAACATTCTTCCTTAAAATAAGGTGCCCAGTGCTGAACACAACACTCCAAATTAATAATGAAAAATAAGGAGATGGTAGATGAACAGATATTTTACATTGATCTTCACTGTAGAGGATACCAGTGACATCTCTGAAGTAGTTATAAATCAGGAAATGAAATGAAGGAAGGAACTCAGGAAAATCACAATCACCAGAGAAGTGGTACTGAATAAATTGTTACACTACAGACCGAAAAGTACCCAGGTCCTGATGGACTTCAACCTAAGGTCTTAAAAGAATTGGCTTGTGAGATAGTTCACACATTGCTTTTAATTTGTAAAATTCCCATTAGATTGGAAAGCAGGAAACTACAGACCAGTTAGATTTGCTGTGGAGAAAATGTTAGAAGCTACTAATCAAAAGGTATAGCAGAGTGCTTAGGTAAATTGAAAATAATCAGGCAGAGTCAACATGGTTTTGTGAAAGGGAATCATGTTCGACCAATCTATTGGAATTATTTGAGAAGAAATTATGCATTATGAATAAAGAGGATTTCCAGAAGGCACTTGATAATGTGCCAAATGAAAAGTTTTTGACAATATTAAAAGTTCACTGTGTTGGGGTAACATATTAGTATGGAGAAAGGAGTGACTGGAAGGCAGAATATATTATGCATAAATGGGTCTTTTTCAGATTGGCAAAACGAGACAAGTGGTGTGCCACAGGAGGTGTAGTTGGGATTTCAACTATTTAGAATTTATATAAATGACTTGGAGGAAGAGATTGAAGGTATCAATACTAAATTTGCCCATGAAACAAAGATGGATGCTGTGAGGTGCAGAGGATTCTGGCTGTCCAGTGCATGAATCTTAAAAGTATCCAGGGACAGCAAGTAATTCAGAAAGACAATAAAACATTATCATTTATTGTGACAAAAGTAGGGAGGTTTTGCTTCAGCTATACAGAGCATCGGAGAGACCACGTCTGGAATATCGTGTACAATTTCGGTCTCCTTATTTAAATGAAGGATGTAAATGTATTGGAGGCATTTCAGACATTTACTAGACTAATACTGGGAATAGGCAGGTTCTTTTATGAGGAAAGGTTGAACTGGTTAGGCTCATATCTACTGGAGTTTAGAAGAGTAAGGGGCCAATTGATTGAAACATATACGATCCTGAGGGGTCTTGACAGGATGGATGTGGAGAGGATGTTTGCTCTTATGGGAGAATCTAGAACTGAGAGTTATTATTTAAAAAATCAGGAGTCATACATTTAAACAGAGATGAGGCAAAACTGCTTTCTCTCAGAGGATTGAGATTCTTTGGCACTCATTGCCTGAATACCACAGAATCATAGAACCCCTCCAGTGTGGGAGTAGGCCATTTGGCCCTTGAGTCCACACCGAACATCCCAAACCCCTACCCTATCCCTGTAAGCCTGCATTTCCCATGGCCAATCCACCTAACCTGCACATCTTTGGACTTCATTGAATAGGTAGTGGAAGCAGAGTCCTTGAACAATTTTAAGAGCTAGGCAAATAGATGCTTAATAAACAAAGGGTTGAAAGGTTATCGGGGGGGCAGGGGTTAACGTTGATTTGAGGGTATAATCAGCTCAGCTGTGATGTTATTGAATCACAGAATGTGCTCGAGGGATTGAATGGCCTACTCTTCCTTGTTCATATGTTTGTCTGAATTTGATGGTTCTGTTCTACCCGAGGAAACAGTTTCTATCAACTCTATCGAATCCTTTAATCACCTTAAATACCTTGATTGGCTAACCCAATTGAAGAAGGATGTGGCAGAAGCGGGTGCAACATTTAAAAGAGATTTGGACAAGTACATGAACAGGAAAAGTTTATAGGGATATGGGACAAATGCAGGCAAACGGGACTAGTTCAGTTTAGGAAACCTGGTTGGCATGGATGATTTGGGCAAAAGGGTCTGTTTCCCTTTAAGGGGCTGTACGACTCTATGGCCCCCTAATCTTCCCTACTCAAGGGAATGTGAGCACAGTCTGTGCAACTCATCCTTGGAATTTAACCCTTTCCAAACCCATCTTCCATGTTGGTATTTCTGCTTCACATCAGCCTCCTCCCAGCCCTCTTCAAGTCCCCGTGTCACCCTAACCTATTCCTTCCAGTCTCATGTGTTTTTGCAGCTTCCCCCCTTAAATATTTCAGATCGATCTGTCTTAACCGCTCCATTGTCTGGGAGAGAAAGTTTCTCCCAAATTCCCGATTGTTTTTATTAGTGACTGTCTGACATTGATGGCTGAAGCCTACACCCCAGAGACAATAGATATAGTTTCGAAAAGAACCACTTAGCTATCCTGTCTCTTTGACAGATTTGTCCAATTAGAGCCACTCAGCCCCACAGCTATTTTCCCCATAAACCTTTCACAGCACAACAACTCAATAACCCTTTTCTTTGAAGATGTTTCCCTGGAGTCGAGTTGGCTAGAACAGTGTCAGCAGTGATTGCTGGCTTGTAGGCCCGATGTGTGAACTCCTGGAATGGTGGCAGGGTGTCAGCTGTAGTAATGGCGAAGCAGGGACTGTTGGCTGCGGTAGGCCTGGAGCGGGACACTTTTGGCAGCAGTGGTGTCAGTGCCTGGAGCAGGGACCGTGCAGAAGTCCTGCAGCTGTGTTTGGGACACCAGTCGATGAAAATGAACTCAATTTAAGTACTTTTCCGTTCATTCTTTTTCACGTTAAAACTGTGCCAGATTGTGTACGTTTCCCTCTATCTCTGTAGATATGTTTGACAATAAATCATTCTTTCATTCATTCACTCACTGCCTCAAATAAAACATTCTCATCTCCCCCTCGGGTTCTTTTCTCTAGTCTCTTCAATCTGTGTTGCTCTGGTGATGGATTCTCCTGCTGCTTTTCTCACCCATTCATTCGACCCAAACATCTTCCTGATTTTGAACATCACAAATCAATCTCCCCCTGAACCTTCCCTTCACCGTCAGGAATGGTCCCAGCGTCTCCAGTCTCCCACATGAACCAAAGTCCCTCATTCCTGGTCCCATTCCAGTAAAACTCCTCTACATCCTCTGCAAGGCCCTGAGATCCTTCCTAAAGTATGGAACCCAGAATTGAACATGATACTTTAGTTGGGGACTAACCAGCGTTTATGCTTTTTAACTTGGTGCCTTTATCGAGCGGGTCAAGGATTCCAGTGTTGATTTTGTGTTTCATCAGAGTTGTGTTCCAAAGGTTTCTCGCTTATTTTAACTTGTTTAAGACTGGATCAGTTTAGTTGGGGGCTACCTCTTCTCAGTCAGAAAAAACATTCCCTCAACTGGTACCCAAGTTGTGGGGGTGGATTTACAAGGGCTGGCTAATATGCATTAAAGAGATTGATCTGATTGATGCACAAGATTTTGAGGAAGTTTGACAAGGTGGATGCTGAGAGGATGTCTCCAGCTGGGCCAGATAATCAAATAGGGGGCACAGTTTAAGTAAAAAAATCTCTCCCATTTAAGACAGAGGAGGAATTTTCTGTTTCAGAAGGTGGTGGGTCAGAGGAGCTGATTGGCCAGTTAGGTACCCCGCTGAC